ACTTACACAAAAACCTTCTTTTTTTCTGTAGTAAAGCTGAATACAGTAAAAGCTCGTTAATTCGAATTCCACGGGAACGCTAAGCAATTTCGAATTAAACAAAATTCGAAATAATGAAAGTGAGCAAAAATGGGTGGATTTCGGGGGTGGGAGCACGAAAAATATTTATTGGCCAAAAAAGTCGGTGATGACCATCTGCTTCTTTTCTCTGAATGCCACAGCTGCGGCTCTCTGTTCCAGCACGCGGACGCGGCGCAGGGAATCCTCTTCACCCTCTTCAAAGCTGAAGAAGAGACGCGCCACATTAAGTGCCTCCATCACCGCAGAAGCTGACGGGCGCACAGGCGCTTCGTCATTTTCATCTTCTTCACCTTCTGGCTCTTCAGCATCAGGCTGCGCACCGGCTACTTGAGCGATAATGTCCTCATCAGTCAGGGCACCACACACCGATGCACCGGTGTCAACTTTAACATAATCGGCAAAACGTACGCCCCGAACAGTGTCGCGCAATGCCACTGGCATAAGCTCCTCAGCCCCATTCACGTCGACGTCACAACTATCCTGCGCACTTCCAGCTGCAAATCCACTGTGGCAGAAACAGTTTGCGATTGTGGTCGCGGTCACCTGTTCCCATGCGCGCACCAACATGTGCATGGCAGTGAGCAGCGTAACGCCGAAGTCCTTCCTGTCGCCCGCGCACAAAATCATTCTCTCCAGCACGTGACGCCTATAAAAGCACTTAATGTTCCTTATCACACCCTGGTCCATTGGCTGTAGGGCCACAGTCGTATTTGCCGGAAGGAGCACCAACTCAGTTGCTCTCAGCTCAATGTCGACTTTGTGCGCCGAACAGTTGTCGTCGACAAGAAGAACGCGTCTGCCGCCCAGTTCTATTCGCCTGTCAAATTTCAGTAGCCACTTCCTGAATAGGTCACCTGTCATCCAGGCTTTCTTGTTTGCGGCGTACTCCGTCGGCAGTGAGCGAATCTTTTTGAAGCACCGTGGCTTGAGTGCTTTGCCAATCACAAAAAGGGGGACCTTTTCCGTACCGGTCATATTTGCGGCGACCAGAACAGTGGCACGCTCTTTGCTGCGCTTGCCGCCGGCACAGCTGTCTCCCTTGTAGGTGATCGTCTTGTCTGGCTGCAACTTGAAAAATAACGCTGTCTCGTCAGCGTTAAACACATCCTGTGGTGAGTAGCTCTCCAAGTAGTGCTGCAGGGTGTCGCTTCTCCAAGTAGCGCATGTTTCGGCGTCCACTTTTTTTGCCTCGCCGGATAACGTGCGGAATACGAGATTGTGCCGCTCCCTGAAACGATGAAACCATCCCTCGGAGGCGACAAAATCTTCAATGTCCAAGCGCAGGGCGAAATCGGCTGCCTTGGCCACAATGATAGGGCCGCTCAATGCGATACTCTGGGCTCTCATTTCTTTAACCCAGATAATCAAAGCTAACTCCAGTTCCGGGAACTTCGCTGTCCTTAGCCTTTTTCGACTGGCGCCAAAATCCTCGGCTTCATAAGCGCTTTCAATGGCCGTCCTGTTGCAAATGTAGGTTGACAACGTGCTCGGAGGTATGCCGTGCTTCCTCGCAATTTCGTATTTGCTCGAGTTCCCTTGGTCAACCTTTCGCAAAATCTTCACCTTTTCCTTGACAGTCTTCGCGCAGTAGTTTCCCTGCGGCATCTTGCAACTTCAATGCGGAATAAGACGGCTTGACGGCGTGAACGAACAACGTGCTCGAGGAACAAAGTGACGCTGCGGGGAGCGGCCTAGGACTGCTAGGACTACTCCGCCGACTACTCAGCGTCCCGTGGGTGCCGCGTACAAGTGGCGCCAGGCGCTGAGATAGCGGGAGGGCTATGGAAAAAAAAAATTGCTCCCTGAATTTTGGAGGCCATACTTTGCTCGCCCTTTGCTCGGAGGCCACTTGAAGCTAGAAAAAACTGGTCGTCCACCTATCGTTCGACCGTAAAAGCTTCCACTAGTGTTTGACGATGATGACGCTCGGCGGCGCGCGCTTCGAATTATCCGTAGAGGCAGCAATTTCTGTTCGCATTAACGAATCGTTTTACACATGGTCTCCTATGCACTGCGGACCGGACTGCGGCGACCATTTCGAATTATCCAAAATTTCGAATTAATGAGGTGTGAATTAACGAGCTTTCACTGTAATTTAAAATTTTTGAGGGCATAGGTAATATTGTAATATTAGATGAATGCCATGGTCCTGTGCGCACGTGGTGCTGTTTCTTCACAGAAGTGGGCACATATAAATTGACCACTGAAAGCCTGTGAATGAGAAGTGACAAAACTATTCTGTTTCACATTTGTTATGTTCAAGCAGTAGAATCTCGATGATACTAATTCGAAGTGGGCACGCAAAATATTTGTATCATCCCGAATTCATATGAACCAAAAACAAGTTGAAGCTGATCATGAATATGAACAAGAACTTTATTGTGGTCAACTAGCTGAAAAAAAGTCCATGATGTTTTTTGAAACTTTCCTACTCTCACCGCCTTTCAATGAAGTGCCACAGTTTGCTCATTTATCCTGCTGACACTTGAAGCGCGTTCACACTTGGCATCAAAAGGAGGGAAAGGGGCAAAACTTATTGAATATACACTCCCTTCACCGCTTAAGCGGCCAAAAAATGTTCCCCGATATCGACACAGAAAAAATTAAGTCCTGGAGAATTCACACGGGAGAATTAAAGTGAAAACGCCAAAGCGGTCATGAAACCATGCCCATCAAAAATGTTCATAATCGTTCTGCTCTTCGTATACATGCCACCACCGCCGCCTTCACCACTTTAGAATTCATTTTGGCCCGTTTCCTGAGCATTAAAATTTGTATTGAGTCCTGGTTATGCATGCAAGCTCGCAGCTGTACAAACATTGTTTAAGGAGATACACCAGCAGAAACAACACGAGCGTACGCACCGGCAGCGGCGGCGACGGAATGAGTCGGCAGTGCGAAAGCAAGGCACATTAGGGTATGCAGACTCACTGCTGCTGCACCTTCTACTTCTGGTGTTTATCCAAACTGGGCTCTTGATGAACGTGTCCTTGTCAAGGCTGTGAGCTTTGTCGTGCTGCGCGGGTAGTTCGCGATTGCGCCGACGCGGGCCACTGGCAACGCCTTTGTTGCCATCTTGAATTCGTGGCTCGTTTAAATCCCGTGGTTTGAGAGCTAGTGCAGCCGGTGTAGCGTTCTGTGATGTAGCCAAATCCATGAAGCAAAAATACGATCTGCTAACGTGTGGGGGGAAATTGGTCTCGGACCGATTTTTTTGCGCGAACCTTGCTGCATGGTTTCCAGCCACTTACGCAACGAAGCGAGAGAAATTCGCACGAGTTTTGCAGCGTTCACTCCCTTGGAGACGAAGTATGAACAGGCCTTCCTCCCAGGGACAAGCTGCATAGCGCCGTTCGTGTGCAGCGATCAATCATGCATTCGTACCATCCACAGCGGCTGGAGAAACCAATCATATAACACCAAATCACGGCTTATTTTATATAATGTAGTCCATCTAAAGCAATCTTGAAATTCATATCACAAAATTCGCATTAATCGTAATCGTATCATGGAGATTCTGTTGCAAATCTTTTTTATGAAACGCTAAAGTAATACTACTGTAGCCCAGCCAGCACCATCCAACGTTTATACAAGAAACTAAATGACGCAGCTTGTGCCGCCTAGGTTCTAAAAAGAAAAATAAAGAATAGTTATATGTCTACCCGATAAGGGGGCTACTCCTGAGACATTTTTGGAACACGTTGTGATGTCATTTCAGGCACCTTAACAACTTTAAAAGGAGAGCTGGGAGTCAACAAAGTGTCTGGTGGTCTACTGCGTGGGTTGAATGTCTTGGCTTGCCCCTGACCTTTCCTCTCGCAAATACAGGCCGGCACGAGTCGGGGACGGTGCCTCAGACTATCTCCGACCATTCCCGACTGATGTGCCATGCCCGGACCGCCGAGCATACTCAATGTACACCTACAGGAGCAGCAGCCTGATGCAATCCTAATCGCGTACTCCCATGGCTCTCTCGCCTTACGCCGCAGAAGCGGCCATACCCCGCCCTCTTGGTGGAGATGTGTGCCACTCCTTGCTAATTGAACTTTGTTGGTGGTGTAATTATTGAACCCCTGCTGTGGTTTACTCGCGACAGTACCAATATAACATGACTACCAGTTGGGAATGTTGGTATAAGTTCATTATGAAACAAATGCCAAAAAGTACAAACACTCAGAAAGCACTTGTCCTGTGTCCTTTCAGAGTGTTCGTACTTTCTGGCGCTTGTTTCATAATGAAGCACCAATAGTTCAAATAAATTTTGAAGGCAATGAGGTGGCTAGCCTGATCCCACTACACTGATATGTTTTGTCTGCACATGTGGCTGCTGGGATATAATGGGTCAAGCACTGCACAGCCAAGTGACAAAGTGTACAACAGGACCCCACTGTGCATGCAATATGAAAGTGCAGTGGTACTTCTAACGCACCGGATAGTGACAAGAGGCTGTGAGAAAGAAATGATCACAGCATATCTATGGAGTGAATGATTATGACTCGGCGAAGCTCCAGGGGATCATTCGGGTAACCGTAATTCCCATTCCCAGCTGTTCCAGTTTTGAGGAGCCTGTCCCAGTGTACATCCACCGGAGAAAACCTGAAGAACAAGCGTGGTTTGGCTAGCTAGCGAATCATGGCAGAGTTTCTTGTGTTGTTCTTGTCAGTATTGCACAGTGTTGGGTACGCCCGGTACAAAGGCCAGGTCTCGGTTGAGCACTTTGTCTATGAAGTCACGCCCGCCACTCTCGAGTTGCTGCCTTGTGAATGAGCGCCATTTAGTGAGCACTTTGAATACTAGGGGTGGCTAGGATGGACAACGGCAGACAACCCTAAAGAGCGTCGCCCCTAAAAGCAAGCGACAGCAGCAGGAACACAGCTTTCTTTTCAGAGAAGCAATGCAAGCATGAAAAAAAGAAAGACCTGAGGGCAGGATCCACGTAGTAGCGTTGCTCCCAGGTAGTGAGCCAGATGACGAGCGAGCTGATTATGACCACCACCGAGCCAAGGGCATCGGCCAGGATGTGGAGGTATACTCCGCGAATGTTGAGCTGGCCACCCGTCGACGATGGCACTGTGTCCTGGCCCGCAGCGTCAGCCCCGATGCGGAATCGGTTGTCGTTGATGTCTTCCTCTAGGCCTTGTAGCACCACCTCCTCCACTGTGGGCAGGCTGTGGTGGTGGCCTCGGCTGTGGCTGTGGCCATGCTCTGTGCCCATGTGGCGGAAAAGCATTTATAGCTGACCATAGCAAAACGCTTTCTCTGGGTATCTATTTTCAACAATTTCATTATTTTTCTAGTGAACAATTGGAATACACATATAACCCCTCGGCTAAAAGCTGCCGTTAGCAGCTTGAGTAGAGTGCATTTTGGCCGAGGCATATTTTTGTGCATGGACGTTTCATATGCGTCACGATACATGATTATAAACTCAGACCTGAATATAATGGATACAAATATAATGATTTATTGTTTGTAATGAAGTACACAAAGAATGGCTCTGTCATGAATACAGTTTTACAAATATATGTCTGTAACAAGTTTTTGGATGTAATGAAGTATGTTCATGGCACAAATACGACTTCTGAGACACAGTCACCGGGCCAACTCTGCCACACTTCAAAGTTGAGTGCCATAGGTTCGAATCCGTACAATATGAGATTATCAGAGACGTCGCATTCTTCGCAAAGTTTGCCCATAATTGTGACATCTCAGTCAGCCAAACTACAGCATGCAAGGTGTTGGCATGATCTGCAGACAAAGTGAGGAGCATTGGCAAGCTGGAAATTACAAGGTCGACCGAGTCAAGCGGGGTTTCTATGCCGGCTCAATGAGGCAAGTGTGCATCCACCCGTCATAAAAGACGATCATTGTCATAAAGAAATACATTAAGAAACAACATAGAAGCGCCAAAAAACAAGGAGCAGAAAGAAAGAGTGAACAGGACGAGCGCTCGTCCTGCCCGCTCTTGCGCGGTTGCGGCGGTGCCTTAACGGATAAGCATCAGAAAAGAGCGACGGCGAGCAGGCTGGAAGCGATGGACGTGCCATTGAATCATCGCCGATAACCTTATCCCAGTAATATGCAGGAAGCTGCTTGGCGAAGTAACTGCGGTACAAGTGCATGACGTCATGCAAGGCCGCTTGCGCGCATTGCTCGCAAGATTCTTCTTTGTGTTAAAGAACTGGCTACTCGCCGCACCCGAGCACGATATCGAGTGAAGCATGCGTGAATAAAGGACGAACGCGCGCATAAATTGGACTCCAAGTGAACTGACATGCAACGGCGAGAGCTGAGTAAGCAACGTGCTGCACGCAACTAACCCGGGATGATTTTCGACGTGGCAGTACCGCACTTCAGTGGAACCACAGTAGAACTACAATGGAACGGCGTGAGTTTATCGCGAACGTGGTTGAATTCACTCGTGAGCAAACGGTTGTCAATTAACACGCGAAAAGACCTAACTTGTCAGTTGACAGGTTGTTCGCACTTTTGAATAAAAATACATAGTGACTATGAATTACAATGATAATGCAAAAGAAAGTGCTCAGGCTATTTGAGAACTATTTTGGTCAACTAAAAGACTTACCAACAAATCCTTTATTTATTAAGCATAATTTTTAAAGCAAGTAAATTATATGACTATGAACTTCTCCTACACATACATAAACATAATCTCTCAAACGAGACACATGAAACATTAGGGCGATATCCCCTATGTAATGAGTGGATAATATACCACAAACACGCACAAATTACAGGTCAACCCTAACTTATCAGATCCTCGTCTTAATAAATTTTGTGCCTTCCCAAATCAACTTAGATGTCCTACTCTCTAAATTAAAAAAAATACATAAGACCTTTCTTTGTAAACTAGTGTAGAGACATAACAAGATAAGCTCATTTATGTCAATACACCAGTGTTTTTGCATTGTTCCATTTTTTACATAAACTGAGTGACATACACTTGCATTATCTGAATGTGCACTTGTTCTTATATGGTTTTACTTTATATTGATTGTGTATCTTTTATAATGTGCGCCTTGATGGATTTGTGCAGTTTTGTTGTATCTTTTTATATTTGTCCTACTATGTATTCTCAGCTATGCTATCGAAGTATTAAATAATATCACTCTTTTAGATGTGACATTTTATTTGCTGCTTCCTGTAACGTGCCTCAGGTCCCTTCAAGCTGCTCTTTAGAGAGATTATTTGCTTGGAAGAACCTCCAACATTTTTGTTTTGGAAATTAAGTTCAAAGTTCAGACTGCCCTCACAAGCAGACCCACTGGTCGAGGCAAGGTTACACAGCATGGATGCAAGGGCACAACTTCCTCCCACAGCCGCGTGCCAGCAATGCCCTTTCTGGCTTTGGCACAAAACAAACTCTGGGCCTTATGCGCTGGCCCAAGTCTCAGTCAGCTAAGTGTCGGGGGGGAAGCAGGCCCTTTCCCAAAACAAACATTCCCTTTGACTCTAGCACAATTGATTATGCAATACAGCAATTGATTATGCAGTTCTGAGGTTTGCTCTCCTGAGCAGAAAACCCTATCTGCACTCCTGTGAGACAACAAACTAGAAAAAGTTCTAGCAGCACATTGTTGAATGACCACCGAGGACCAAGACGAAGACAGCCAGGACTAGCCCACCTTCATGCACCAAATGATACTCACCACGAAATAGGCACAAGCCAATCATGTTGACGATGAGGCCAGCAACACCGACATAAAGGATGAGCTTTGGCTCATCAATGACCTCAGGCTTGTAGAAGCGCTTGAGGCTCTCCACAAGAATAGAGAAGCACAGGGCCACAAGGAAAACAGCGTTCACCAACGCCCCGAGAACTTCAGCACGGGCCCAGCCAAATGTGTTCTTCGACCATTTCTTGGGAGACATCTGCAAGGGGATGCAGGCGTTTCATGCACTGTTCACTCGTGCATAAAGACTTAGGCTGTGCACTCAAAACATGCTGAACTTAGTATTACAGTTTTTACAACACTTATTCATTGATGCCCACACTTGAAAACACATACTTCGAGGAATACCTTACTAAGTGACAAGCAGTCGTAAGGGACGTTGTGTTAAACTGGTGTGCAGCCTCAGCCAGATCCACTTCAGTGCTAAATATTAAGACAAGATGTGAAATCCTAAACAGGGGGAGGTAGGTTGTGTTCTGAAGACATGGTCTTTGAGGCACTCGGAGACGCGGGCGCTTCGCGAAGTGATCGGACGCGACGCTCATCGGCTCCGTCGATTTTCGGCTAGAACCGTGCTCTCTTCAATGTGGCTGCTTTAAAACTTGTGTGACTGCATCTGCCAAGTCAGCAAGATTCTGGGGACACCGATCTCACCCAGGTACGCCCAATTTTCGGCCACTTCAAGCAACTTTGCATCACAACGTAGCGAACGAGCTAAGCCTCACGGCGGCGGCTCCGCCGCTGCTGGATGCGGAGACGCCGCTCGGTCAACTCCTCAACATGGCGCTGCCTGAACAACGTGGGTACGACCCTACGACTCTGTCGTGGTCGTATATCCCGACAAATCCATCAGACGACGGCCCATCCACCATTTCGGCGGAGCAAGCCGACATTTTTCAACTCGTCGAGGGTCGGCGTCGCCGCCGAAGAAACGCGGAAGGAGCGTCTGCACTGAAAACTCCTCTCAACAATTCAGCCACTGGAGACGCTCGCGCTCCATCTCCTAAAGCTCCACAAAAGACTTCACCAGTCTCCAAGTGGACGCCGAAACGAACGGTCAGGATGAATCCTGGCGACTACGTGATCGTGCTCAAGCCACGCATCACAGTAGCCCTCAAGGCAGCGTTTCAACAAGGTGAGCTCGGCGCTGCCATTTCCCAACTCATCGGAAGGCAGCACATGAATGAAATCACCATTTCTCCCAATTGGGAGCAAAACATCATCATCTGTGGCACGCAGAATAACGAGGTGGTTCAGAAACTGCTGTCGGACTTTCAAATCAACACCAGCAAAGGACCGCTGCCGCTTCGCGGTCACCTCAAGCTCACCGGTGAAGTGTGTCGCGGCGTGATTTCTGTGCACAACCTCGAAACCAGTGCGTCTCTGAAACATAGTGTGCAGTGGCGTGGCGGTGAACTAGTCTATGCGCGCAAGCTGGGGAACTCCAACGTAGCTGTGTTGACTTTCGCGGGAAAGAAGGTTCCGCGTTTCGTCCACTATATCGCAGAACTGACTCCCGTCAGGGAGTACAAGAAGACAGTGCCAGCGTGCTACCGCTGTGGTGCACTGGGGCACCGGGCGGATATCTGTCCCAACCCGGTCACCGAAAGATGCAGCCTTTGTGGCCAAAACGTGGGCGCTGGTCCTGAGGGGATGGCCCCCCACGAATGCAACCCAACGTGCATAGTTTGCGGGGGTCCGCACCTCACCAGCTCCCGCGAATGCACTGAAAAATTCATCAGGCTTCAGCAACCAGGGTCCAGGACATCGGGGACCCCAACAAAACCAAAGCACCGGTCAACTGGCAAAGTGCCAATTCCTGGCAAAGCAGCAACGGCAACGCTACCACCTGGCGCGGCGGAATCTCCAGCTCTCGGCGCTCCATCTGGCAACGCTGCACGCAACCAACCCAAGGTGGGCAGTTGGGTGGAGGTCGCCTCCTCTCCCTCCTCTCTCTCCTCTCCACCTTCTTCTGCCACAAGCACTACCGAAACACAAAAACTCAGGCATGAGCTCGCCCTTTTGCGATCTCAGAATGAAAAACTAGCCAGCGAACTTGACTCGCTCAAAACCAATCTCACTACTAAGCCCTCGTTGAGCGACGAAGAGGAAAATATAACAGACAGGGAGATTCCTACTACTGTAGAGAGTCGCGTCGCGGCCCTGGAGACCCAGGTGAATGCAATAGAAACACAATTGGCCGACCTCCCCAAAATTATCCACGACACCATCGCGCGTCATATGGAGACTGTCATCGCACAGGTGACACAAACAGTAACTCACATTATCCAAAAGTGGATACAAGACAATCCACGCGTCCTCAAGCGCGTAGGGCCAATTAGGGACGTTAATCGCCCCTCAAAATTTAACAGAGTGACTCCAGATGAGTCGGACTTTTCTGAAGACTCCAGTACGTCAGCACAGGGTGCTGGTGAACTGAGTAATCTTAACAACACAACCCCACCCTCTATCTCCGAACATGGCCTCTAACCCTAGGTCGCGAGCCAGAGCAACTCAGCCGTTGTTACTAACACAGTGGAACTGCAGAGGTCTCAAGAACCACAAGAAGCGGGCTCATTTCCGCCTCTATCTTGAGACCTTTGAGTTCCTTGTTGCCGTGGTTGCCCTTCAGGAACCCGGCTCGGACGTCAAACTCACAAATTACACTACATTTCAACACAACCCGGAGACATGTATACTTGTTCACAAGCAATATACCGCCCAGGAAGTCACACTCCCCACAACACCGCCTTTCCCATACACAATGGTGTCGGTGCTGCCTATAAGGCGATCTGACCCACCTGTTCATATTTTAAACATTTACTGTCCCCCAAAGCTTAAGAACGTCACGTTCAGCGAAACTTTCACACAAGCTATGCAGGTGGCAGGACGGGACCCCCTCCTGATCGTCGGCGACTTCAATGCCCCAAGCAGGTTATGGGGTTACCCACGAGAGGACACGCGTGGAAGGAAGCTTGCGGAACTTCTTTCTACACTTGGACTCACCCTCCACACTGATCCCGCCAGCCCAACACGTGTAGGCAACTCTGTTCAACGAGATACTTGCCCGGACCTCACAACTACACGCAACATACGCCATGCCGACTGGCTGAACACACAGGACACTCTCGGTAGTGATCATTGTGTATTAAACACAACTGTGTACATGTGTCCCTTAAAACGCCCACTTACACAAGCTCGTATCCCAGACTGGACAACTTTCCGCACCACTCTACCTATTGTAGACCCTCTCCAGTCGGGATACGACACCTGGTCTAAATCACTGACGTCTACACTGAAACAACACGAACAGCTGATACAGCTCACGGAAACTCAAACGGACGTGGACAACCACCTCCTCCATCTTTGGCAGGCCCGCCGCAGCCTCACCAAACGATGGAAAAAAACAGAAACATAACAGACGCCTCAAGAAACGCATCCTAGAACTCACGGAGCAAGCTGCGGAATATGCTGCTCAGCTAGCCGACACTAACTGGGTGGACAGGTGCAACACGGCTGCACGCCAGATGTCTGGTCGCAACACGTGGCGCCTGTTTCGCGCTCTCATCGATCCAACACAAACACGCACGGAAACTCAACGTCACTTACATAAGGTCATGCACAACTTTACAGGAACGACAACACAGCTGGCAAACACGCTCAGGGACCGATACCTGTGCACCACCAAGGACCCCCGGACGGCCGCATACTCCTACGCAGGCAAAAAGAACACGCAGTTGGACACCCCGTTCCAGCTCCACGACCTCCAGGCGGCCTTACGCAAGATGAAGCGTGGCACTGCACCAGGGCGTGACCAGGTTACGGTCAAACTGTTGGCCAATCTTCCCGACGCAGCCTACGCCACGCTCCTCAAATACATCAATAGCATTTGGGACGGAGAAACTCCTCTCCCTCTTGAATGGAAATCAGCTCTCGTGACCTTCATCCCGAAGGCAGGTAAACCTATTGACGTGGAGAACCTTCGCCCCATCTCCCTCACGTCTTGTGTCGGCAAGCTGATGGAAACGATGGTGCGCGACAGACTCTCCGAGTTTCTAGAAACACAGCACACTTTTGCGGACACCATGTTTGGATTCCGCCCTCAGAAGTCAGCCCAGGATATACTTCTACAGCTCCACCATGACATATTAGATCCTGTTGAATGCCCCCGCAATGACAAGGTAGTCCTGGCCTTGGATCTTAAAGGAGCATTCGACAACGTGAAGCATGAGGTAATCCTTGACCACCTCAGTCAGACCAACTGTGGTTATAAAACATTCAATTATGTTAGACAGTTTCTTACAGACCGTCGAGCCTACATACGCATACAAGATGAGGAACATGGGCCTTACGTCATCGGCTCGAGGGGAACTCCTCAAGGCGCGGTCCTCTCTCCCCTCCTATTTAATATAGCCATGCTTCATCTTCCCCCCAAATTGGCTTCTTTACCAGGGATACATCACGCTCTTTACGCGGATGATATCACGATCTGGGCCACGCAAGGTAACTTGGGTCACATGGAGTCATGCCTGCAAGCAGCAGCGACTGTAGTCGACGACTACGCAACCTACTGCGGACTCCAGTGTGCCCCGGCTAAGTCAGAATTTGTGCACGTACGTCCCTCCCCTCAGGACACAACTCAGCTCCATATCAGTCTTCCCTCGGGACCGATCCGTGAGGCCAAGGAGATCCGCGTCCTTGGCCTCTTCATACACCACCAACGCAAGGCCGACACCACAATAGCCAAACTTCGCACGGTGGGAGACCAGGTGGGCCGTATGGTCCGCCGGGTCTCCAACAAGCGGGGCGGATTACGAAGCAGGGATGCAATGCGGCTTGCCCATGCTTTCGTAACAAGTAGAATACTCTACTCGACTCCCTACTTGCACCTACGCAAACACGAGGATGATCAACTCGAGGTCATCCACCGTAAAGTTATCAAGCGGGCTCTCGACCTCCCTATCACCACGTCCAACCAGAGACTTCTGGCCCTAGGCGTGGTGAATACCTACCGGGAACTTCGAGAAGCCCACCTCGTTAACCAATACACGCGCCTTGCACAGACCCATTCCGGTCGCCGCCTCTTGGACCGAATACACATCAAACACGATTACTATATTGAGGAAAGGGTGAGAGTGCCAGAACCTTGGAGACGCGCCCTCCGGGTCCGACCCCTTCCCCGCAACATGTCCAAAGAAA